ATATGAAGGTAGCACACATCGAACGCTAGCAGAGTCCTCCACACATGAGACGCACCCACATGGCAGGCGAACATGTACTTGTCTGGATTTTCGTAGCCATCTTTCAAGAAACACGGGATGGACGCTTCGAACAAGAGATTGCACGCGAACGCATACAGCATGACCGATGTGTCTATCGGTTCGCTTTTCAGAATGTCTTCTATCTTCACTTTCTTCGCGTAGAACAGGGCCAAGATCTGAAGGGTAACGCATATCGAAACCACTTGATTGAGCGCTAATGCGAGGTCTAAGCAGCCGAAGCTTTGTCGTGCACTGGATTGTCGAACCAGGCCTGCCTGCACGTAGGTGAACGGTATGGCACAGACGAGGAAGAAGAGCCGAATGCATCTCACCACAGGTCGAGGAACCGACATGCCGCACTCGAGTCCGAATGTCAACATCAAACTCTGAAAATAGAAGTCTATGAAGGCGGTGAAAAAGCGGCTCGAAGCAGTCCTGAGCCTTGCAAGACGGAGCGTTGACGCTATCTTCGCCAATTTAGGCTGAGATGGCGCCAGAGGAACCAGAAATGCATTTTTCGGATGGTCGGTGCCACTGGGGCGGAGTACACGCGGCATCGAGGTTGCTGCGAGCGGAGCGTGGTCTGAAACGAGCTCTATGTGGCCAGCCGATCATCGGAAGGAATTCTGAATCGCAATCGATAAGCCCTAGCTCCGTCTCAATCGAGAGTTAGTCGTGCAGTGAAGTTCCGCTGACGTTCGACGCAGGAATCGATGACTGGTGCTGGAATCGGTCACAGGTCGATCGACTTCACTTAGGTTCGCGTCACTTAGCGCTAGCACCAAAGGATCTGTTCGAATCTCTGGGGACCTTGCCCGATTGTGAAGAGGTGTCTCTGACAAGGATGATCGAGGAATCCGATCGATGATTATTGCGTGGATCAGGGTATATTTCGTAGCTTATTTAGTCGACACATAGACCGGACGGTCTCGGGAGAAGACCCGGATTCCATTTGAGTTGGCGATGTTGCGTCCTATAGACCGTCGTGCGAGATCCTCTCCGCAAGTCCTCTGGTGAGTTGATCGACTCGCGCCCTTGAAAGAACCATTCCTCGTGGGTTGAGAGCTGAGACAGGATCGAGTCCTCTCAGAAATCGCGGGTCAATGCGACTCCTCGCGGTTCCCCGAAGACTCCCCTCGTCGAGCCGGAGCCGCGAATTATTGCGATGCCAGGAACCGCGCTTCTTTGCGCAGCCTGATTCCGGGGTCGGGAAAATTCTCTGAAAAGCCTGTTTGGTTTCCTGGCTAAATCGGGTATATCTCATTGAGGCTGTCGTCATTCCTGTGAGGCTTCCCTCGCGATACTTTGAAATATTTTTGTCGCACAATGGAAGTATTGTAACCCAAGCAAGGTCGCGTTCGGAACTCCCCTGCAACGTCGAAGCGAATCACAACTGTATGGCGAGCTTCAATATGAGATGGGTCGAAGCTCAAAGCAATTGTCGAGCATCGATCGAGCTCTCGCGGCCGCTCAGAAACTTGTCGGAAGCAAAGCTTGTTCCACGAGAGCATGGAAGAGCAGTGGAATGAGATCGAGTGATTTCCGTGTTGACGTGGCCACGAGCGATGATTCCGGAAAGCGGTGTCAGATTCCTCGGTCGATGGAAATCTTCAGCGTGTCCAAAAAAAGTCGAGCAGCCAAAGTTAGAGACACCGTGAAGAGCTTCAATGATCGAGCCGAGCTCGCGCACTTCAGAGCGAGCTCGACTTCTTTGGTCTTCCGACTCTATCGCTCGCTCTGTGTTGTGGACCAGGGATCACCATCTATATGTGGGCTTCGGCTCCGTCAGACAATGCTCATAATCAGTTTTTTCTGCTTCTCGTTCACGTTCCTGAGAAATTTGTCTCCGGTTCTTTCGGCACTCATGGGGCATTCGGAGAGCTCATTGAGTTGCACGGATTTGGCCAACGCAATCAACGATTTCCTCGCCATATTGGTAGCAGTTCAGATCATGGCATTGCTGTTTTTGAGGAGACTGAAACTCAGAGAATTGCTTGGAGTTGATTTGAAAGATGAGCGCAGGCTTCAGAGCGGATTGCTCTTTTCTCTGCCTTGTCACAAAGGCTTGAGCGTCCTCATCGCTTCCGAGCCGGGAGATATAAATAACGTGCTCCTGAAACTAGGAATGATACCGTTCTGGCTCTGCACCCAGTTCATTCCGATTGTCTACCTCCACGTCGTGGGAATACTTTGCCAGATGCAGAATACGATCCTGCAGCGAATCTCAGACGGAGAACTCCAGCCTGGTATTGTGGAGAGAAAGTGGGCGATGAGGGATAAAACCTCGCTGATCAACGAGCTGTGTGCGCAAATCATCACGGTGTACTACATAAAATTTTTCCTGGCTCTCGTCCACATCGCTGGCTTGATGTTCTGCTCCTCATTGAGTGATATCAAGGTCCACGCTCTCTTGCTCATCCATTTCTCCTTTCTGTGTCAATTGATCCTAGTTGCGGTAGGAGGGAGCAGCCTTGAGTCTCTTTGCGATCAGACCGAGAAACTGATGCGCTATCGGATACCGCGTTCCAACGGAGCGCCAGCTCGAGACATTTTGGACATTCTAAGATACCGCGAACGTTGGGACTCTATGAGCTTATTGGGTGGCTTCGCGATTACAACATCCCAGCTTGTGAGTTTCCTCACTACGAGTGTGACCCTCGTCGCTATCGTACTGCAATTCGACTTCCGAGTGATCAACAAACTCAACGAAGCAGTCGAGATATTCAGAAGTGACTCATCGGCTCGGACGTGAGGGCTCCGAGATGCGGCTCGTTCATATATTCACTCACCCAATATTTCCAGAAGCTGCCCCCTCGTACTTTTGCCGCGTCTGGTGATAACATCGTGTACGAGCACGCGGGAGGGGACTTCGGTCGAAGATGTCGCGGACAGCTTTTTCGATTCGAACGATTCCTATTGAGCGGAAAGCTTTTCTTCTCATCTTCACCGCACACGACGTCCTCCCCTCGAATATCGTCCGAAAAATATCACATAGCGTGCAACATGGACTTCCGAAGCCAGCTCACGAATGCCCCTCAGTGAGATCCATGGGATGCGCTCTACGCCCATATTGCGCCAGGAAACTCTCGGCTCACGCGTGTGGAAAACCCCCAATTACAGTGGAGCACGAGCTGTCGTCACGTCTAGCGTGATTGGTCACCGGCGCCACCATCAAGGCAATTATGATCCCACAACTCAATCACGAGGTCTCGGGACATGAGATCCGGGGCGGCATATTATGTGACACTCTCTACTGTCCCATCCGGCATCACGGCAACCTTTGGCTTCCGGACTACACAGGGTAGAACATCGGTTAAGGGCGCGGTGCCTCCAAACAGTATCTTGCTCTCTATCGCGGTCTACAGGAGTCAGAAACCCCGATCGAACTGGCCAGTGTGCATATGGGCTGCATCAGCAAAATTAGAATCCGACATTGAGTATAGATTCCTCGAAGCTCATTCTGAACCCGAGTTTTGTTGAAGGTCGGCGCGCCGTCAAAGAAACGGAAGCCGTCGGTGCGGAGCTCGAGAGCCGGATATTGGACATCGAGAGCGCCGACGTCACTGGGGGCTCCCCCAGACGGTCAGCATTGCGGAATGTACGTAGCTGCAGCTTTTCGTCGAGGGCTGCCTGAAATAAGTGGACGGCATGTTCGGTTGCTGCTGAGCAGTCCTGCGTGAGATGCTGCGAGCAGCATCTTCGCTGTGCGCGTCTGAGAAATGGAAGGGGCTGAACATCACTCTGGTTTTGCAATCAGCCATTCCGAGCACGTCTCAACCCTATTAATAAACACACTAAAGACTTTGCTGAGAGAGGAGGACCTGTTTGGTGCGGCCTTCGCAACACGTGAAGTGCATTAAGCACAACAAGCGATGCAAGATAATGGCTGTGTTGTGCCTCCTCTCACTCAGCTTCTGGAGGTCCCACTCGGCTCTCCCCGCATTGCACCGCTCGAATACAGATAGGTGATATCCTCGAATCGAACGGACTCGATAACATGAAGCGATCCAACGATTGTTGGCGCGGGGCCTGCACGACCAATCGGGAGCGGCTCTTCACTCGGATCAGATCGGGAAACTATCAAATCTGAAAACCTGAACACCGAAAGCTAGACCCGACCGGTGATTTTCGCCAAGTTCCTGGAGCTTATTCCACCTCGAGGTGGAAGGGACACGATCCGCAAGCGATTCGGGACCATTGCGGATATCTCAGAACAATCGAGTATGTCCCTCAATCTCTCTGGACCCCGAAAGAGATTAGAGCCAATTAAAAGTTCCGCTCGTCCGCCGAGCAATCTGAACCCTGCGCGTCGGAATCTTCGTTCCATTCCACTTAAACTTTTCTTTTCCGAGTATCCAACTAATCGGACACAAGAACGCTCTCTGGGCTGACCGATAAGACTTCTCCTCCGTCAAAAACACGTTTGTTAACAATGAGATTACGAGTGAATTCTCCCTCCTCGGCTTTCTCCTGAACAAAGCTCCAATGTGCCCTACACCTGCTCTCTGGGACCGCGCGCCTATTCTGACGTCGGATAGACCGACTGTGGGTAATGGAATGTCCGACGGCGCTTGATCGTAGCCCAGGGAAATACCACGAAACACTATCGGCGGCACTCGTAAATGCATCGCGCTACCAGGGATTTTTCGTTTTTCGTCGTATTTAGCTGGGACTGCGAGCGCACAAGCCTACAAGTTCCGAGATCTTTCACTTGGTCTGACCGGCTGATTGGAATGTCTCAATTACACGCGACTTCGGCGCTGTACCGCACAAATTGGACAAGGTTTCGATTTTACCAGACATCGGGGCGAACATGCTCCGACTCTCAGCAGCAAAACTCCGAACCTCGCTGAATCCTGTTCGTATTTGCTCGGAATCAAAGCAATGCTCGGGCTCGTGTAGGATCTGGAGGCTCAGGATCCCGGAACCGATTCTGCGGCATGTTCAAGCAAGAGCTGAAGGACATAGCGTCCCGACTGCCGAAGCACAAGCTGAGATTTCTTAGTGAGGGCTTCCTCGAGAAAACCTTCGCTTTCGTCGTATTCTCCGTCTGTGGCATCGGGATGCTCTATCAGGTAATGCATGTAAACCTCAGAGGCTCTGCCTTTAGACTCCATGACAGATTTTTCGAGAGGAAGCGAGACTTCCACGGATTAGTCGAGAGCTACTCGATTGTTCGGTTCGTGGTTCGCGCGATCGCATCGCACGCCGTCATGCGAGTGACTCTTGGTCTGAGAGGGTCCCGGTGGGTTGAAGTCGAACCAAAGGAGATGATTTGAAGGGCAGCCCTTTTGCCCCTACCAGGTGACCTTCACAATCAAAAACTACCTCGACTACCCATCCGTTGTGTCCTCTATCATCGAGAAGGATGCGGCAGATTTCCCAGCGGTCACTGTTTGTCCGGAGAGCTGGTGAGGTCCTTGTTTGCGAATTTCCTCCGGCTCAAATACTGAAAGCATGACGAAGGGTCGGAATGATTGATCGGCATTCCTTTGTCTGTTCAGGTTCAACCTGAGCCAAGTCTGCCGATACTTCCCCAAAAATTGCTCGAGGAAGGACGTGGTGAGTTGTAGGGGCTCAAAACCTCGGTCCAGAGCATACAACATCCCAGCTGGAGCATACATAGTTCGTGCCGATTTTCTCTCCAGAACGCACGGAGATTCGTGGATATAGTCGGCTAAGTTTCATTACAAGAGCATTGATTCCAGATGCATCGGTATTCGATTCCGAAAGCTTCCGTATATGCTGCGTGGAGGTATTTCGGTCAACCGAACATCAAAAAACTGTTCGATTGCCGGATGGCCAGTCAGGCCGAAGGCTGCGACCCCTTCGATTGTGAATCTTTGTAAGATCCTGTCCTTGATCTCGGAATTCATGTCCTATCCCAAAGACTTGTCTAAGACCCTTGTCGAGCCTTGATCGGATGAGATGGCTCTCATGATTCTCCGTGGGAATCTCGGGACTTCCGTACGGATTCCATCACGGTTCCAATACTCATATCTGATACATTGCCCATGCTATGAAAATTCACTGGAACTCCTACATCAGCCTCCGCAGAGCCTACTTCAAGAATCCAGTACGCTTCTGCTTCGTATTCGATGCCCACGGACTGCCCCCAACCCACATATTCCATCGCTGCCTGACTCCGTGGCTATACGGTTCGTGGAAGTACAAAAATGCAAGCCGTATCCTTTCAAGGTCCGAATCGGAACCATGTCGGTACTTCACGCCGGATTTCCATTGCTCGAGCGCATTTTTTCCAGAGCTTCAAGTGGACCTCATCTGGAACAGTACGTACATGCTCTCCTTCCTCGGAACGAACATGCTCCCCGTATACGTACACCGGAGCTCGACGAACCCGCCCGTGACAATAGAGAGCATTTTCATGTTCCCTGGAAGCCTCGTGGAAGCTTCAGTCAGCCAGGTTCGTGCTCTCGTTCGCTCGAAGATGTATACGATTCACTCAAAGTCGAAACTTTTCCTCAGACTGTCCGGCGACGATAAAATAATCGCATCGAGTACGCATCGGGCTCACACATGGATAAGCCGTAAGAATGATTTCAGCAAAGTGTACAACGCTTACCTCGACCCTTCCAAACCGATTGCGAGCGGTACGAGGCCGAAGAATACCGTCAGTTTTTCGGTGGATATAACACTTTCCACGGCTGTGTTCAGGAATGTCAGATGGCGCTCGAACTACAATTTTGCAACTGTACCATGCCAACCCACGAATATTCCGCAGTTTACGCTCGAAATCTCTGCGAATTCACTGATTTCAGTGAGTAGCCCTGCCATGGGACAGCACATACAACGAAAAGGAGATGTGGAGTCCTCGAGAGCTTATGCCGAAATTTTTTTCTCCGTTCGCAGAGAGCTGCGAAGAGGCCGTGGTCTCTCACAACATCTCGGATCGATGTCAGAAGAAATGTCGACTTGGCTGCAAGTGAGTCTAACGTGTTACTCCGATAGAGCTGCGTAGAGCAGGATCACGAAACTCTGCCTCGTCGCCCTCTCTCCTCGGATCAGGATTAACTATTTCATGGTTTGCAGTGACGTCATTTATGACGTCAAACTGGCGGGACTCGCCAAAATAGAACAACCTAGCCCAGAGATGTGAGTGGATTGGAGAATTATCCGTCATGAGGAAAAATGAGCGATCCCTCAGGAGAATCCGGGTCACGTTTCGCTTCCATTCCAGCCACAAGTCTTCCCTGATCATCTCGTTTGCGACATCCAGCGTAGAAATCTACAGATACAGTCAAGCCCTCGGTGTAAGAACCCTTTCCGCGAGAATGATAAGCCAGGAAGGATGCACCCGGTTGAGATCTGTGGAGCTCTTCGTGATTCACTTGAAAGGAAAATGCCGATTCTGGACGTTAAGAGCGAATGAGAATGAGATGTCTGGTTTTCAGCCGGAGGTCACCCTCGGTTACCTGAGCGGATACATTGGAGTTTGGACCGGCATGTCTTTCGTCGGGCTCCTCCACGGCTGCTTCCGCCGCCTTCTCGGGACAAATCGTCCTGATTGATAGGAGAACCACCAATGCATAATTCGCAGAAATCGCTAGCGCCTCTACCCTCAGGAACCCGTACCCCTCCCGGGCCCTCCGATATGACATCGTCGGCAGACGGGCCTCCTGTTCCAGACCGACGATGTCTTCGAGGATTTAGCTCGGATGGCCCGTAAGCTCAGCGCGTCCGACTGTGCCTGAGTTAGGCTGATAATGCTGGAGCACGCTTAGTGATGACTAATTGTGTCCATTACAAAGATTAAACGCCCTTGATTACCGCGGTGTGTGTTCTATCTCTTCCTTGCGATAATTCACGAGAGACCTATTCAAGCCCTGACCTGACTGGGTCAGTGTACGACGTATTCGCAGAGGCGAGCTGCGGTGGTGTAGCTAGGGAATTTCAAGAAACTATCGACGCTCGGCCTGTAGGTCCTCTCCGGCTCACTGGTGCTCTGCCTTTTTTCCTTCATATAGTTTCCAAATGTTCCACGAAGATGCATCCTTTGTCCAAGGAGGAGAGAAAGAAAGCAGGAGAGCTCACGAGCCAGGAATTAAGCGGATTTTCTCGTGCGGAAAATCCCACGATTTCTCACTTGCGTGCGAACGGAGGGTGCGGCCCCTACCGCGGCCACTCAAGTTCCCGGTAAGAACCGACGGTAGCAATCTATGAGTAGAAAACTCCGGCTATGGGCATCCTATGTCGATTTCCCATCAGCGACTCCTGCTTCGGTTAGCGCATACGATCTTATATTTTCCGTTTTGAAGGCGTGCGATAGCTCGAGCTTCCCGAAGCTCTCCAACAAGAAAACGGTCGACAGATCGAATGCCATTCGATTGCCTGCTGAAATGAGCGTCCGACAGATCTGTTCACAATGTGTTTTAGGTGCAAATGGTGAAAACGACAATTCTATGGAAATTTTCATGCGCATGACCGCTTCGGTCTGCCGCTTCGCCGCGAGCCCGCCTCTTCGCGAAGCCTGCGATAGGCGAAACTTGGAGCGACTTTTGTGCTTTCACAGCGAACGGAATTATCGACATCAGAAGCAGCCCGAGAGCCTCCTGCTCGAGGAGTCGGCTGTGAAATGACCGGAGCAGCGTCCCTCGATACGCAATCGGCGCCATCCCGCCGCAGAGCCCTCATTCCCTCATACAGACGATTCAAGTATTGGGTCCCCATCCCTCGCGCACAATTCCAGCTATTCGCGTCTTTCACAATTCCGGCCCGCGTGGAAGTCCAATTCAGGTGAGAATGGAATAATTATCCTCACTGTTCTGAGGCTCAATCCGTTCTCCGGGGATTAGCGGAGCGCCGGTGTCGCGCTTGCGCACCGAGGAGAACCGCACCGGATCCGCCCATCGTCTCGAAGCACATACCTACGATATGTGCGAGCTTGCGAGTACTATTCCGTCGGGCCCACGACTTTACCGGCTTCCATTCCGTCGATATGTATCGCCGCAATCGGTGAGACGAAACTTCTAAGGTGAATGATCTCGTCCCTAATGCACAATTCCCGCGTGTCAACATGCACTTCCGCTGCGGGCCGTAAATTATGGAGAGCTCATACATGCTCTCCGTTCTCAGAGCGAAAGTTTCCTCTGAATGACTTGACCCATACTCGATATGTAAGCACCGATGCCGACCGCCACTATCGGTTCCTATCAGATTCCGTCAACTCGGTCGGATACCGGAGTTTCGAGATTCTGTGGTAGAAGGATTCGGAGTCTTCCGTTGATGATGCATGAGCCGTCCCGGGAGGACTTGCTCCGCTCATTCTTCGAACGCACAATGTGATCGAGATTTGAGGGCGGAACGATTGTCTCAGAACGTCGCTCGCTGACAAGTTGGGATGGCGTGTCACAAAAAAGATGGCTGTAGGCGAACGAGCCAAGTCTGTATGAGAGACAAGATCGTAAAAATGCGCAGCAAAATAAGTAGGGACCGGAAACGCCTCAGGTCCCCACGGTCGCAGAGCCTGAGACGCTCTTATGTGGGACGCAACGTCTACTTTACGAGCGAATTCCGATGTCTGAAAAAAAAATCGGAACAGAGACAGGGTCTCACAATTTATAGCCAGAGCTGAACAGAATGAGGACAAGCAGCTCCCTCCTCTAACGGCCAGGATAGACGTAAGGATGATAGAGCCTCGTGTAATTCTTCAGCCTGAAGGAGGGGGATCTCGGAGCCGCCTTGAGTCTCCAGCTCGTCATCAACGTTACACGCTCGAAGGTCCGCCAACGACCAAAATATCCAGAACAGTGAGCTGGAATACAGAAATTCGATCGGATCGCTCGCTACGCGGGATCTTGGAGTGAAAGGGGCATGAGAGAATGGAAGAGAATCGTCCAAATCGGGACAGCAAAGGAGGTTTCCGGGAACAGCTGCTCGGAAGAGAGGCGGATCGCTCTGCTGAAGCTGGTGCGATATCAGAAACTGCAATCCTTATAGTTTTCCCTCCTCCGGTGAAGCCTAGGAGAAGCTGTTCCTCTGTACTGTTCTTCTGGGCGGATACCCATCAGCTGAGAAGAAGAGCCTTTCCGCTTACCTAAAGCTGTGGACGACTCAATACTCAACTCGAGTAGCTCCGATTTCCGAGTGTATTCACATGGATAGAAGTCCCCCGATTTCGAGACAGTTTCCTCGATTCTCCGAGAACCTCCGACTCTCATTGAATCATATGCGAAGATATGCTCACTAGCATGTGGCACGAACTGCGCAGACTCTTCAATCTGTCCCCAAAACGTTCGGAGCCATTTGACGCCCGTGCGGTTGGAATAAACGGCTCCACGCTTAAACAACGACGTGACTCCATATCTTCGTCTCTCTAATCGCTTCCCCCAAGTTTCGACGACACGACGCTGGCATCTTGATAAAATCCCAAATCAGACGAATCCGTGCAGTTTGAGCAGTTTCGGCGGAACGGGCAGCTTCGAAAGCAATCCTTGTGAGACTTAATTTTCAGGGCACCTCCACCAGGTTCTTCCTCGATGGAGAAATTGAGACCATTTTCTCTGCTGGAAAAGCCAAACTGGATCACGGAGGAAGAGCACTCCGAGTCGGGATCCGACGGTGCCGCCACGGCTCGCCGCCGACGAAGGAGTGCTCCGGTGGTAAAAAATTAACCTGTCCACGAGCGGATTCAACCTGATGAGGCTCTTCAATTATTTAAGAAGCGATGGCTGTGCGTACTTCTACTTATTATCTACTGCGTTGGAGGATCCGTCCTGTCTCTCCGCCTGCGAGCTGAGCAGCCATCCTGCCCATCGATCCGACTGCATGTACTCGCTGTTTTTCACTTGGTCGTGAGAGGGCTGATCCTTCTCGATCGTTGTCGGGCGGCCACGCTGGCGCTGGCTCGAATCTAGCGAACGCACGGGGACGCATCGTCGACAAAGCTCTTCTCAACCGGCGGAACCGCGAGTATTGAAATTGTGACCTTTGGTCTCCCCCACGGATATTGCTGAAGAACCCGGACCATTCGTCCGCGAGAAGCTGCGCCGACAAAAGCACATACATGGCTGCCAAACAGGAAAATAGAATCTGAACATCATAGAGACCGAGCTTCCCGATGCGGACTCTCCATAAAGGAGTTCTCGCGCCGAGTTTCTTGCTTCGTCCCTGAAATTGATAAAAACGAGTAGCCGAGAGGCAGCGCTAGCAACCTGAGGATGTTTGCGATTTCGATATAATCACGCAAGCGAGTCTGAGCGCACCTAGAACGATGCATCTCGGACGATTCTCTGAGGCGCTGGCGTCGTTCCTGGACTCTCGCGATGACGGTGGTGGAAACCTGGAGCTTGATTGTATGTATAATAAGTCGTTCTGGAGGAAATAACAGAAACGCATCGGTCTCTAATCATTTATCATTCAAGCGACCTCATCGAGGGGGTGCATTCGATTCCGCTTCACTATTCTCGGATTTAAAACGAGCCATACTCGATGCGAACAAGCCCTAGATCCGATTCGATACGGCCTACTATTAGTCTGAACCAAGGGAAAATATTCATGAAATTCCGTCCGGATTCCAAAAGTCGCTATCGCACCATGCCCCGAGCCTGAAAGCACGCCGCGGAGGGGAACCCAACTGGGACTCAATTGGTTTGGATTTTTCGAGTTTGAATTAGTTGAGCTGGATGAATAGAGTTCTCAGAGCAGAACAGCATCCTGCTTCGCTTTGGAATTCCTTCCTTTTCAGCTCTAGTCCTTTCTCTTTTGCTCGGTCGATCCGTCCGGAGCGAGGACCCGCTCGGGATTTCTTCGAGATGACTCTTATCTATTTCTCGGAATATCCAGGAGAATGATGAAATTCTTCTGTCAGCTTTTTCCGCGAGCGATGCAATTTCACGATTTTTGAGTGGAAGAGCTGTTGCCCCATATCGTCCCAAGAGCTTGCCGATCTCCTTCGCCATCTCATATGCTCCCTGATCGGGAACCCGTTCCTCCTGAGTACCCGGGTGAGGCCACAGAGTTCCTCCTCGGGGAACGGCGGATAATCTCATCGGTGTGTTCGGGAAGAGGTTTCCCGGGCGCCAGCAGCGACCATTGAAGATTGAAGCGAGCCTGGGAAGCATCCTCGATTTGGGAATCTGCGCTCTGAGGAATCGAACTCCACTGGAAGCGATCTGAGTCGGTCACAGGCTCCTGTGCCGTCTGATTCGGGTTGGAGAATGAAAACGATTCGGAAACTAGCTGTCGAGGCTAGACTTCAACTGTCTTCAATCGATATCCTCGGCTTGTCGATGATCAATTATTATTATAATAATTGAGACAGTAAACACAGAACATGTACCGCGGAAAAAAAATCAAGTTTTACCCGCATCGGATCGTCGCTGAAGACCCCACGGCTCCTCAGTCAGGAGCGCAGCTCGCAGAGATTCAATACCGTGAAAGGGACAGGAGCTCTGAGAAGCTGCTCACGTCAGTCAATACTAGGAAAAGAGCGTGCGACATGCTAAACTCGCTCGTGATCACCTCATGAAATTAACCAGCCGAAGGCTCCAACTTGCAACTTAGTGTCGCT